GTGACCGACATAAGCGCACATTTCAATTTGTTGTGCAGACAGACAAACACACATGCCACTCCTTATCAATGGAAAGCAAATAATGCTCGCATTCCCAGCTACTGGAATTCGATTCTGTTAATCTATGTGGAAAGGAAAGGCAGTAGCCAAAATGTTGCTATTAATGCTTGCATTAGGCAAACATGCGCGTATCAACAGATCTATGTCAATATTTAAATTTTCTTGTAGTTCAAAACGAACAGAGAGCGAGAGAGAGAGAGAGAAAGAGTGAGAGAGAGTGGCACACTCAAAGGTGTTGATAAAACTAAATCTGACCTGCTTCCGGCGCAACAGACAACAGTTTATAATGAGGCGCCATTTGGGACATTCGCATGCATGTGTGTGTGTGTGTGTGTGTGTACTTATGTATGTGTTTTGAAATTGAGCTAACAGTTTTACAGCTCAAAGCGATGGTTAAGCCTTTTGGGCAACAGTTTTCACGTGGCCACAATACGTGCATCGTGACTAATAAGCCGCGGGACGTCCCCGGAGGCAAACAACTTTCAATTAATAAGAAAACTTTTTCTCATACGTGTGCACAGGTATGTATCTGTGTGTGTGTGTGTGTGTGTGTGTGTGAGATCCAATGCAATGCAAGTTGAATTTTTGTGCATTTCATGATACCAAAAGGAACAGAAAGTGCAGCATGGCATGACACGAGAAAAGTCCAAGTTGACAGCTGACCAATAAAACTGACAGCATATATGGATTGGATTAGTTATAGTTAGTGTGCGTGGATGTAGGTGTGGGTGTGTGTGTGTGCGAGAGTTTTAGTCAAGTCAGCAAGCGCATTGAAATGGCCCGAATGAGAACGCAAACCCCAACTGGATATATTGCGCACTCACACAGTCACCCCGGCAGGCGAAAAGGGTTTAAGTAGTGTGGGGTGTAGATAGCCAATTAGTCCTGCGAGTCAAAAGGATTATTGTATACCCTCCCTACGGGCATTTATCTTTGCTCATTTAGCGCCTCAATAACAGGATTATACAGGCAGCTCCAGCAGAGATAGAGCTAGAGTAAAATAAAGAATGAGTTAGATTGGGGAGTGCTGGAGAACCAGAGATATATATCTATATTGATATGCATAGCTATTGTAAGTATTCCAACATTTCCTGTGTCCAACAGGGAGAGATTAATTTTTTACGAGTGGAGATAAAAGAGAGGGTGAGGCAGAGGGATTGGATTAATAGTTTTAGGTTATGTTCTCAGTTGACATATCATTGTTAAAGTCGATATTCTCCAAGAGTAGCAACGCTGTAACCTCGATTTATTATACATTTATTTTCCGAGTCATGATTATTGCGAAGGGTATTCCACTTGCCGCATACACAATGCAGACATCTAATCCTTTCTGCATATTCGTCCAGCATTCGACTGACCTCTGGCGACGCACTCTGGTCAGCTGTCAGCTGTCAGCTGAGCCTCGAATGACCATCTGCTGGCCCTAACACTGAGTATCAGCAGTCGGCGGTCAGCGGTCAGCGGGCAGCAGCTAGCAGTCAGCGTATCAGCGCATATTGCGAAATGCTTCCAGCCGAATGTCAAATTAGGCAAGCGACTTGAGGCCATAAATTATGTGAGTTTCGGCTGACTGATATTTAGAATCGTTTAACTGCCTATGTGATCAATCAAATCATCAGCGATCGTGTCCGAAAATCGCTCCGCTCTGCGCGTTTGTTTTATGTTTGTGATTAGGCACGTTGTCGCCTTTTCTTGTTCGTGTTGTGTGTTTAAGCAGGCAATTAAAACAATTTACTTTTAATTGCAATATAATTTTCTATTTGCACTCGAATTAAAACATATTATCAACTGAGTCGCTGCCCAGACACCAGAAGCCCTCATCGAGCGCTTGTGCACTGCCCGTCGCCTGCCCACTTAATCTCCAGCCCCCATGCCCCATGCCCCATCTCGCGGCCTCCGGTCCCCGGCCCCTGCTATCTGTAATGCCCGTGCAGAGACGACGTCGCTGTCGACTCGCCTAGGGCGGGGATCTGTGTAAAGTGCCACTGGCGCCTACATATCACCCAACTGATAATATCGCACCAAAATGGCCGCCAGCGGATGAATCACTCAGTTGGGACTATGCAAAATTCATTGGAGCAAATGAAGCCACAGCTGGGCTGGGGTACTTGGAATAGGAGAGGTCAGACATGTTAGGCACAAGAAATTCTATTTGCATTCACATTTATAAGCAGGAATGCAGCTAAAGATTAACTGGATGAAATATCTCAAATATTCGTAAGGCAAATATCACTAATAAAATTAATATTGTGCTGTTTTCTTCTTTTATTTATAAATAAAATATGTTATTGACTTCTATCTTCGAAAGGGTACGACTTGAAAATTAATTGTAATATTAACAAAACAGTTGTGATATATTTGTATATTGATATCGAGCATATGACAATAAAAATTCATTTTTTAAAAGATCTCTGAGATAGTTGAAACTAATACCTATATCGCAAATCATAAGTAGTTGCCTCGAGGCCCTAATGATTCGATTGCCTAGACATTGGAACTATCAAGGTCTAGTTTAAATATTACCCCTGCGCCGGGACTTGATGAGCTCTACGTAATCAGTTGACCTAGTTCCTAGCTCCAACTCAAGAGCTAATCCCGAAGAGTCAAAGAAAAACACTTGAGGCATTTACTCCCTTTCGTTCCTTTCACACGAGCATTTACCAGAGCTATGCAAAAGTCAACAAGTTGCACGGCTTAGCTAAAACCTGCAGTTGTAATTAAAGCAAGTTGGCGAAGATATCAAATTACATTGACTTTCGAGGAGCGAGCCAACTGCCCAACGCTCTTCCGACCCACCCGCATGCACACGTGCAGCCCAGTCGAGAGTTCTTGTTGCTGTTGTTGGTGGTGGTGGTGGTGGTGGTGGTGGTGGTGCAACTTCTGCTCTTGTTTACATTGACTGCCAGCAGTGTCATTTAAGCGCCACGGTGCCACTGCGGCAGCCGCTCGCCCGCGCCAGCCACGCCAAGCCAATAAACAGTCGGAGCGAATGGCCTTGTGCAACTGAGTTACCCATCGTCCCATCGCCGCATCGTCCCGATGTCCCATCGTCCGCTGCCCGTAGGTTTTCTGCTGGCGCACACTGTCAACACAGAAGGCGACACAGTCAGCAACGCATTGCGTGCATTCAAGTGGAAGCGATCCATCGATAATGCTCTCTAAAACTAATATTACAAATGTAGATACCGTTTGGCGCCGGACGCGGACGCCAGTTAAAGGCGACGGTGCCGCCAACTGTCCGCGACATGTTTGACATGTCGAGCGACACCAGCCGAGCTCAGCCCAGCCCGGCACAAGCAGCAGCAGCAGTGAATGCAGCTCCATGCCCGAATACCGAATACCGAATACCGAAACTATCCGAAATGCCCGGGCTCATTGGCGACTGGAATGCGAGACTGAGCGTTTCTGTTTGTTTGCTGGAAAATTCAAATGTAGCCCAAGCCACTCACAGCCTAATCCTTCTGCTTATGTGTGTGTGTGTGTGTGTGTGTGAGTGCATTATGATAGGAGTCTTGAGTTCGATTTTAGTTTGCAGCTCCAGCAGCGGCTTATCGACTGCGCCCCCTCCCCGCAGTGCCAATCGAGCCACAGTGGCCGCCATCAGTGTGCGCCAAATTGACTTCTCTTTTGCAGTAGGTGTCATAAATTCATCATTCATTCGCGTGCTTAGAGCGGACGGCCTTTTCCATTATTTTTCCCACTTTATATATATTTTTTTTTTTTTTTAATTTATGATAGCGCCCGTTTGATTTATTGTGTGTCGCTACCAATTGCCGAAATGCATAAAATACAACAAAAAGCCCAACTACTTGCGCTCATAATGCTCGAACATTGTTGTTCTTACTCATGAGCCTTTCCCGGACCCGTCCAGCTGCCGGCCACCTCTTAACTTAAAGCTAATCGAAGCGTCGTTCCAATATTACTGAACACTTACTTGTCGTTATTGGTACTTAATGCTCGTTAATTGATTTATTTGAATGAAACTTTCATTTAGATTTATGATTGTGTGAAAAGGTTTTTATCACCAGCCGCACCACCTCTATACGTATTCCATATTTTTATTGCATGGAAAGAACTTCCATAACTCGACTGTGTCAGAGTAGCTCAATAAAATATTTTACTCTCTCTGTCTCTCTCACTCTCTCTCTCTCCTATCTAATAGCAATAATAAATATAATAATAATATATACATTTTCCGCTTTAGTATCATTAATGCGTATTCAATTTATTATATTCCGAGGCGGATCTGTGTGTAAGAAGATCAAGCCTAAGGACAATAAATGCGAAAGATCTAGCCTTGTCCTTTTATCCAGACTATGTAAGGCTACGTCCCAGCTATAGACACTCCTTCCGTCCTTTAGAGGTCTGTGCAGATCCGAAAAACCTTTTTGACACGTCGCTGCTTAAGTAACCAGGCAGGCCCACTGAGAACAAATGCAAGAAAGCCAATTTCCGTGCCACCCACAATTGTATTCGATTTGTTTTTTGCGTCTAAGATAAAGTCAAGCCCGCTGTCAGGATAATCCCAATATTTTCAAACAAACCTATTAGCCACATTAAATCCTTCTATGGAAAGGGCCGAGATTATTTTCATCATCGGCGGCTTTAGCCACGGGGCGCATGTCAAATTATGAATAAAATGCAGAATCACGCAAAGAGCAAAAGTCAAAGGCACGGCCCAAAAATAAATACAACACACAAACACACACACATGCAGATGAATGCCAACAATGCCCATGGCTTGGCCAGGGTCTCGGGGCCTCTCACACTGATTAGGTACGACAGCTAGAGATCAACGCCAGGGGATCACTCAGCCCAAACCCAAAGCGTAACCACAACAAAAACAAAAAAAGAACTCTAACTGAATGACGATTACTTTTCTTTCTTTTCCTCCCATGGCTCACTCTCTCTCTTTCTCTCTCTCTCTTTCTGTCTTACAGCACCGAAACTACCTGCCAACATGAGCAACATGCACGATTACCAGCTGAATGGTCACCTGGACATGTGCCGCGGGGGCAGCTCTGCCGTCTTGCCCATCCAGAACCCGCTGCTGCCGAGCAGCGCGAGCACGGGCGTCGCCACCAATGGCCTGCCCATGGGCGCCGGCGGTGGTGCTGCGGCTGTCGGTGGCGGTGCCGTTGGGGGCCCCGCCGGCGTCGGCCTCAGCAACTGCAGTCTGTCATCCACGAACAACTCGGGCCGCACCAACTTCACCAACAAGCAGCTCACTGAGCTGGAGAAGGAGTTCCACTTCAATCGCTACTTGACCCGTGCCCGCCGAATCGAAATTGCCAACACGCTGCAGCTGAACGAGACGCAGGTGAGTCTAAGCCTCCGACTAACGGAAGCTGCTCTGAATCGAAATTCAAGACAGTAGCTAAAGTAGCCAGTGCAAGGAGCTACTTCACCCATAGCACAAGCTAAAGAGCGCTCATTTGACTTTCCAGTTAATGGAAGGTCAGCTAACGCAGTTCTAATAAGGTCATTATTTTGCTAATTGCACTTTTATTACAAAATAATAATAAACATAATTCACTGAACATCTTGCATAAAATTCTAATTCTATACTTCTAACCGTATTTTTATTTCACAGGTGAAAATATGGTTTCAGAATCGTCGCATGAAGCAAAAGAAGCGCGTCAAAGAAGGTCTCATTCCGGCGGATATGATAACGCAGCACAGCGCACCCGTCTTAGCTGAGAAGCAGCCCCTACAACAACAGCAACAGCAACAGCAACATCAACAGCAACAGCAGCCACAACAGCAACAACAACACCAGCAGCAGCARCAACAACAACCCGATCTGAAGGCTTCCGAATTGACCAGCAGTGAATTGCCAACAACAGCAGCAGCAGCAACAGCAACAGCAGCAACAACAGCAATAGCCAAATAGAATTAAACAATTACTAGCGATTGTTGTTATTGTTGTTGTTGAAGATGTCGTTGCAGCTGTTGTTGTTGATCTTGTTGTTAAAATACCCTGTACCCATTGAGCCACCCCTGCAGCTTCAAATATCCAAATATATATCAGACCAAGCTAACGTCGAACTAGCATGGAGCACACATAACACATATCTGCTCTCAGTCATCGCCAATATCTGTCCGTCCGTCTGGTAGCCCGCCTCGGCTTAGCAACGTGTGCAGCTTGGCGATAGTCGTTTATGGCGTTAAAAGTTACATTCCGACGTCAGCTGGACCCCAAGACTAGGCTAGGCTTACTTCTGCTTCATAGACGACAAATCTATAGATCTATACGGACTCGTATCACATTGATCTCCGCCACCAGGAATATACCTACACATCATTATATGTTATACAAATATGTAATGTTTAGAAATAACAAGGTAAAGGGGCATCGACTTTCTTATGGTAATTACATACACATATACATATGTATATGAGAGGAAGTTTAATGAGTACAGGGTATCTGCTAGTCGTGCGCTGCCGACTAAACAGCTTCAATTCTTTCTTGTTATTATTTTTGCTGTTGTACAGAATTGCCAAATGTCAAGCGCATTTTGTTGTGATAAATGAATAGAAAAAATAAATCTAAAAACAAATATAACCCAAAAAGAAATATATTTATAACATATAAATATATACACATATTATTTCATGATAGCCAATTAACTGCATACTAAAATGCACAGACACGAAGAATAAATATAATTCATTTGTAATTTGTACAAATTAATTAAATCAAATACTAACGTAGCTACTCTTTAGAATCGGCAGCTGAAAGTTCGACTAGAATAAACTAAACTCAGGGTTATATGATATGAGCAATTTGCATAACAAACTGTAGAACGCCGAACAACTACGAGATGCAAAGCCTAACAAGCACTATACAAATACGTTAACTAAATCAAAATCTATGCGAATGCTGCCATAAAACAGATTCCTAAGCCATTCAGCCGAACCGAGGGAGAACAGCATTGTAATTAACTCGTACTCGTACTCGTACTCGTACTCGTACTCGTAATCGTAATCGTAATCGTATTTAGTATTATTATTCTGTTACTGTAAGCAAGGCCTTCTACGAGACAAGAACAAGAGTTATTCGACAAATTGGTATTCAATCTTGATGTATGTACTATATATATGTATACAAATATGCGTATATATATATTGATATATTTATACATATACTCTAGTCTTAATTGTAATATAAATATAATTGTACGCAACCAGATATAAATAAATAAACTTATTTGAAAATTGTTGATCTTTAAAAAACATAGGACGATAGTTCTTCACTTAAAATTTCAAAATATAATAAGCAAACCTGACCGTAATTCAATTCTCATCAATATGTATTTTTGATGAATTAGGGAATTACCAAAGAAAATATCTGTATCGCAGCGATTCCTTCAAAATCACATGTGTATAAAAATGTAGATTTTTTTTGGGGATTTGCTTGGCTACCTTGAAATTTGACTAATTTGCTAGTATTAAAAAACAACGTGGAAAATTCATCAAATGCCTTCATCAAAGTCGGCTTGCAATTTGATGGATCGGATTTTAAGACTACATTCAAAATTTCCAATACATCAAACTCTGTTAAAGAACACATGATTGTAACTATGTATGTATCGACGTACAAAGGTTCATAAATGCATATATAATTACATTAAATGAACATTTCTATATGAACGTTACATTCATGCTTGTCATTATATGCCGAATTCGAAAGTTGCAATAAAGTCGCTGCTCCAAAAACTGAACTCCACTTAGCAACTTACATTTTCATAGTGAACAACGCCTTTGGAATACACGCACTATCAGGTAGACAGAGGTTGCTATTAAGGAAGTAGAGTAAATTAAAATTATTGAAGAGTGAGTGCATACATGTTGGGCCCCTTTTATTTAAGTATATTATACTCTTATGGAAATGTATATTTGAATATTTGCTTTTAAACTAGAGCCATATATATCGAGAAGAATAATAAAATTGTGTATCGATGAATTCACATAATTTTGTCAGGGCTGCAAGCATAATATTTATACGGTATATAAATACTGAATTTATTGTGGAACATATTTAGTATTTTACAGTAGAAGTTCTTCTTAGCTTCTGGTTATTACGTTGGTGTTTTCGCGTTATCAAACGACGTTAACACAGATATGCAAAAAAGCAAAAGTTTAAAAATAATAAATCTTGAATGTGGATATTGAATAACTTAAAGGCGCATCTAACGCCACTACAAGAATTACCAAAACAGATTAAATATGGCTTCATCGACTCCAAATTCGGAAGGATACTGCTTGGGACGACATCGATTCAAAAGCGCGGCAAATTAATTGACGCTATTTGCGTTTTGTATTTTGTGCAAATGGATGACAAAAGCAGTTTGGAACAACTTCATCGACGTTGGCCCAAAGTAAAGCTCGTTGCAGATGCAAACGCCATTGAGGTGATGAGAAATATTCTGTTTGAGGAAAAAGAAAACGCACCCGTGGTCAACATTGCCCTTAAGGGCACAGATCTGCAGCTGGCCGTATGGGCGGAGCTATCAAAGATGGAAGCTGGCACCACATGCACATATTCCGAGCTCGCCGAGCTGGTAGATCGCCCAAAGGCTGTTAGGGCGGTAGCCAGTGCTGTGGCCAAGAACGAGGTATCCATCCTAATACCCTGTCATCGCGTAGTATCAAAGAGTGGCGCCGTAAAATATGGGTGGGGCGCAGCGCTAAAAAGTTCCTTATTATGCTACGAAGCTAATATATAAGTCAGTTGGTTATAAAGAGGTTGGTTTTTCATTTGAGGGATACATATGTATTTGTAAAATGGTTGGTTTATTGAAATTCAGCTCCGGACTTTGAATGTGCTTTTCCTCACTTGGCTTGTTGTCTTTTATAAAAAAAAACGAAACAAATTACAAAATGCACATTCTTATTGAATTGAACAAACTGAAATGCAAAATATGCTCGAGATTGTGCAACAACTTCTACTTAAATTTTATCTAGATATTAAAGCGCTTCTATTCTCGATGCAGCAGCACAAATATGGCCAGAATCGAGAGTATGGCCCACTGCAAGTATATCATTTATTAGCAACAAATATTGTGGTCAAAGAATTGCACACTCACCTTAACTTTGGGATATTCGTTCATGAAAATCGTGATGATGCCCACATAGGGCAGGAACCCTCTGGCGCGTCCCACAATATCCTTTTTGGTTAGCCAGAGCTGGCCGGGCGCATACAGCCCCCGATCGTCCACATTGTTGTTGTCGCCCTTGGTCAGAAACTTAACTGTGCCGTCTTCCCTGTTTGAATGCAATTCACAATTATTCACTTTAGAATATAGCTTGAACCACTATTATTCTACGTACTTTTCGTGCAATTTGATTACACGATGCACTATGGGTATGTCCCGGCCCTCCACTTTGAAGACTACAATCTCACCCACGCGCACCGGCTCCTCTTTGTAGTTGGTGAGGAAGAGCAGATCACCCCGATGAAAAGCCGGCTCCATGCTGCCGCTCAGCACCACAACAATCGGCGATTCGCTGCCGGTGACAACCATCAGACCTTTCCAAATCATCAGTGCAGAGGATACAATCATCGCAAAGCTGAGCACTTGGTACAGCGACTGAAAGTATGTCAGGTTTCTTTTTACTAAACATGGCCAGGACGCGGGCGTTGGGTGCAACACTCACCTGGCGTTTGTTCATTCTATTGAAATCTCCCAGCATTTCGTCCACTTGCAATATGCTGGCTAGGCCCATGGTTGTGATTTTCTATTTACTTCGCTATCGACAATAATCAAAAATGCTAACTGGAAACTTATGCGAATTCGCAATAATATAATTGCAGTTCCACGAAGACAAAAACTGACAAGATTTGTAGCGCCGCAGACGACGCGATATTGGTCCGACACGTCAGAAGGGATTCCAGTGTAACTAAATGACAAAAATACTGAAATCCTAAAAGTGCATGTAAACTATACCAGAAATATACGAAAATACTGAAAAATAGCTGGTATTAAAATCATCTTTTCTGTTAAGGATTCTTGAATATGTTATCCACTTCATTTATATGTATTTGTATTCTTTGGATATTGATTTAAAGAAAGTATACAATAAACTAGAATGAAGCTTAAATAAATTTAAAAATATTAGAAATGATTTGAAAGGTTAAAAATATAAAAAAAAGAAGAAAGAACATACAACAGAGAGCGTTTAATTCATCGATAAGATTTTCATTTATATCGACTCTGTAAGTGAAGCAGCACTATGTTAACTGAGTTTGGCAACTGGTGCAATGTCGATTTATTTCACGATAATTTGAAATATATTTGTATCGGTGCCGGTGTGCGAGAATACTTCGCATTCTCCGAATTTTATAAAAAGTAGAGCACAATAAAACCGAGTCAAAAATGGGTGATAAACTGTTGGACACATCGCAAATTATAAATGGATTGGCTGTGATGATATCATTTTTTGTTGGGTACAAATATGCTCTAAAACGGGGTGAAGCTTGCGCTAAAATTGACGAGACTCCATCGGAGACGCCAGAAGGCGCAGCTGTCGCAGTAGCAGACAAGGTGCGCGAGTATAAATTACAAATGATAGCTAAAAATTTGCAATAATATATTCTCTACTTTCAGACCTATGGCGGCTTCAATGACAACTACAAAATGGTGCTCGTTGTGCGCAACGATCTGAAGATGGGCAAGGGGAAGATTGCCTCGCAGTGCTCCCACGGAGCTGTGGGCGCCTATCAAAGGGCTGTGACTCGTACGCCACGCCTATTGCGTGCCTGGGAAAATTGTGGATGTGCAAAGATCGCAGTGCGCGTCGATAGCGAAGCCGAACTGATGAGCATCAAGCGATCCGCCGAACAACTGCATCTGAACACTTGTCTCATCCGTGATGCTGGACGTACCCAGATCGAGCCGAATTCCAAGACTGTGCTCGCCGTAGGACCCGCAGCGGCAGTCGAAATCGATCGTGTGACTGGCCACCTGAAACTGTTGTAATGCTCGGCTGACAGGCCCAAGTGCAGCCAGCGCGTAGGATATACGCAATTCTCAGCAAGCAATATCTGTGGCAGCGGGTGGTAAGCAACCACGACGACGACGATGACGACCATGACTGTGACATGTACGTTGAACTAGAGTCTAGTGCTTAATTGCGTTTATTTGTAAACTGAGTTATAACAAATTAAATCCCTTATGATGCTGCTATCTTTACTCGAATTCGTGTGAAATTTTCGTTTTGTTTTTCATTCCATGTTTGCCCTCACTTTTTGCTCTCGCCACAATCCTCGATGGCATCCCTTGTCACCTCTGGCCACTTGTCGGGTATGACCTTAAGCAAATCATCCTTTACATCACCCTGGATGACAATCTCCTTGTCCCCGCTCACTGATGAGCCGCACGCGAATTTGGTACCAAAGAATTTGGCTGCCGCTCGCAAATCGATTTTGAATGCAGCCAGCCCGGCCACAAGGGTCACTCGCTTGTTCTTGCCGCGCGTGGAGCAGGAGAGTCGAACACGCTTCGGTTCATTGTCGTCCTCGTTGTCCTTCTTTACACGCAGCATGCCCTTCCCGCCCCGCTTCTGGCGCTTCCTATCGGAATCCATGCCACCAGCAGCTGCGCCTGCATCCGCCTCGGCTTCTCTTAGCATAAGTTTTTCATAGTCTTCCGGATAGTTCTTGGCCAGCCATTCCTTGCATTTATCGTACTCGGCGTAGTATTCACAGTACTCGATGGGCATGGAGCAGTTTCCGCAGTACTTTACCTCAATCGGATATGTGACTTCCACTACGCCATGGCATTCATCCACTTTCTTTTTTAACTCGTCCGGCTCCTTTATGGCATCCATATTATAATTTAAATCTGAATGAATTTTTGGTGTCTAGAAAATGATAATTTAAGCTAAACATGCTTAGTGAAACCTTCGCTCTTTCCTGCTATCAAACGTAACTACATATGTATATGTATATCAAAGTCAGCCACGAAAAATTGTTTTTCAGTGGATTCAAACTGAGTACGGGGTGTCTCTAAAGCAATGCCTTCGAAAACATAATAAAATAGGGTACATATACACATATATATCTATACATATATCTGTTTAATCATTAAAATTATTTACATAAAAACAAAAATTTATAAATTGCAATGATTTAAATGAGAAAACACGCTATACATTGTAAATAATTTTATTATATTATAAATATTATTTAGGTTTTCTCGGTACATACATATATACATAACAAGACCCAACTCTTAGAAACCGTTTATTTTTTAAATTTATTGTAAATTTGTGAACGAGCATATTCACATCTCTCTAATCTGAGAAATAAGGAGTTTTTTATTATTATTTAAATTTATTGCAAAAATATAAATGTGTAACATCTCTCTGATTTGAGAAGAGGTTTGTCACATTAGAAATAAAAAGGAGGAAAGAATACAGAAATATCTAAAGAAAATCGTTCACAATAATAATAAAAGAAAATAAAAAGAAAACGGAAGATTCTTAAAACTAGAAAGTCAGCCAATCATAATCATTTTCGCTTTGGGTCTGCGACTGCGACTCCGGCTGCTGCTGTTGCATATTTGTTGATTGGACTTGCTCCTGCTGCTCCTGTCCGGGTTGATAGTTCGATTGTTGCGGCTGGTAGTCAGCGGCGGGCTGGACGGGTTCATTGGAAGCATCCAGCACATATATTTGTTTTGGGTCTTGGGCTGGCTGTTGGGCTTGTTGGTCAGCCATGTCACCATCATCGAGCAGCTCCTTCTTAATGCGCATGCCGCCATTGTCCTCATCGTCACTGTCTGATATATCGAGATCGTCATCGATGCCCATGGCATTGTTGGTGCCCGTTGCCGCAGGCGACTCGTCCTCCTGCTGGGCAGCTGCCGCTGAGCTAGTGCTCGCTTCCGGCGGATTGTACTGGCCATTGTCATCCTGGGCCATGAAGTCCGAGAACGCGCTGGCTGCAGTACAGTTTTCGCCAAGGTTCTGACGTGGCTTGTGCATGGCCAGAAAGTCGGAGGGATCGTAGTTCGGATCCACATCCATGGATTCATCTGGAAAAGGTGAAAGAATCCAGTTAGTATATGATCTGAAATGCTTTTCCAGGTGCCGGGGCAGTACTACTAGACTAAGATTATTTATTTATATTTTAACAAATTCAGAGGGGTTGAGTAGGGGGGGTCAAGAGTATTTGGGTGAGTATTATATGAACCTTGCTGCTGTTGAGCGTAGTAGCCAACGCCACTCAACTGCACCATAGCTTCAGCCGCTTGCTGGCTGTCGTCCTCGCCGCATTGCTCCTCTATTATAAAACCGAAAGTACGAAACACGTGAAAGTGGTAGAGAAACAGAATCCAAAAGCACGCAAAAGAAAACACATTTAGATTGAAAGAGTCAAAATTACGTGAAATCATATAACAAGTGTAGATTAATATGTACTATGTATGCTTTCAGTGTATTCACAGGCTCACAATCACATACAAAGCCAAATATTATTTCTATCAGTTAGCTACGCGTGATTACCCACCTGCCATTTGCTGTGCCTCGATGTCGATCTCCGTTTTGATGTTCTTTGGATCGATATAGTACATCCCATCGTTGGGTGCTTGCATGCGCTCCCCTTGATCCAAAATATGGGCAGCATTGTTCTCATCTTCAGATACCTCTTGGAAGTCCTCCTCGTCGTCCTCGTCATCATCCGTCGAGCATTGCAGATCTGATTAGTCGTTCATGATAAATATACAAAAACAATTAATCAATAAATGCTTTGAAATTATTTTTAACCAAAAGGAAAAAATTAACTGCAAGTAACTTTTTGCAAAAACAAAGTGCTTAAATTAATAAATTATTAAATTAATTATTCGGGTTCACAGTATAATAATAGTCGTCTAGCGGCGAGTTTAACAAAATGAAAATATTCTAAATGTTTAAAGCTAATATATATAATAGAGAAAATATACAAAAAACAAAAAAATTAAATAAAAATGAAGTCAATAAAAAATTGCAGAAAATATAAAATGGTGTTGCAAAAGCCCAAAAATATCAAATGCTACAAAAATGTTACATTTAATAATAACAAAACAATGAATAATCATTTAAATATATACGAAATATTATAATAAAAGCCAAATCCAAAACAATTCAAATTAGTATGAAAGCTTTAGTGCGGCTGTGTGTAAGGTATATGTGTGTGTGTGTGTTTATTAAAAATTTAGTTAAAAAATTATTAAAAATACATGTGGGTGTGAGTGTGTGTGTTGTGGGTTGTGTTTGTGTGTGCGGTTAATACAGCTGTGGTCCACATAGTTATTACGTAAGCAGATAACTGCGTACGAGTCTTACCTTCGTCCAGAAAGTAAGCTTGCGTCTGACTCATATTAGAGCCAAGGCTGTCCTTGCGGGGACGGCCCCGACCTCGTTTAACCGGGTTTGCATTTTTGACTAGAAAATAAGATTTGGTTTGCAATTGCACTGTTTGCACTTTGTATTGTTTACAGGGTATATAGCGAGTAGCATAAGTGATTTGGTAATCTGCTTGCAATTATGGAAAAAGGCTTTTGCTATGTGACAATCAAAAATAATCACGAACATAATAATTGCAATTTCGATAAGACATTGGATACATACATTGACTTGAAAGCAATTTGATAATATTTACTAATTATCTCTATCAGGAGGATAACGTCGAATCGATAAAGGCCGATGTGTAAAACAATGCCCATCTTAGGGTCGCGAACCCTATAACCTTTATCTTTGTCGAAAGATGTTATATACGCCAACAAGTTTTCTTTCTGTGTATATATATGTATGTGCTAATACATGCATTCAAAAGGTCTTAAACTTAGTTGTTATACTTAAATATGGTTGTGTACGTATGAGGGCAAATTTTGTTTCGAATCCAGGTTAATTTTTGATTGCAAAATGAAATAACGGTTTGATATTCATTTATAACTGTATTGTACAGGTTGAGCATGTCTCATTTTGAAATATATTATCGTATGATACAAACTTTCTATTGTACAGCTTTGATGAAGATTGGAAATTATGGCATACTCTTACATATTGCATTACTCTTACATATTTAATAAATACAGTTCTATCGGCTTAGCCTGAATGCATCGCTCTATATTCTGATCACATATGATGAATGATTGAAGCTGATTGAAGTGCATTACAATTTTAGAAACAGTAGAATCCGATTATAACGACCCGTAAGGGGAGTCGTTATAGCCTGACTTTACTGTATCATAATTGTTATAATGATAATATAATTACTTGTTCTTTGATCAAATATAGGTATATACATTTATCCAATATATTTTATAGATTTAGCCAAATTGGAATTTGACTATTATGTACACAATTTTCAAGTTAACATAGTGCTATACAACTACTCTACTTACTACATATTTTCAAACACAATTCACAAATTCAATACTCAGTTTTGTATAGAGCATACTGACTCATTCGCAATGATCTATACGCAAAACACGTCTAGTATTATTAGCAAGAGACTACTCTTTGCTGACTAAGGAATTTTCTAAAACTAAATATGTAGATATGTTATATATATGTATGTATATGTATAACTATATCTGCTATGAAGCTCAAGTATTTTTGTATTAGTATAAGCGCATGGAGCAAACGCTATGTAGACCATAACCAGAGGATCACGAGTGATCCCATATAGATATATATGTATATGTATTTATAGCATGGAATAGATAGAAGCGTGAGCATAACCAGTATTAAACAAGACTAGGGGTAGAAATGTTCATATGGATGTATATGTATGTATATATGTGTTTATATGCAACGACTCCCAGAATAAATAGACCGCATACAATATGATAAGGAGTAAAGAACGAACTGGACATACCCTCCTCCACGGGATCGCGTTGCTTGCGTGGACGACCACGGCCGCGTTTCACCTCGCTACCGGCTGGCGTCGCCGGCTTACGCACCGGAGAAATGCCGTGCGATAGGTTTGTGTCGGCAACCATGGAGCGATGTATTGAATTGGGTGTGACAAGTGCCAGTCCGGTATGTCCCTCCACATCGATGTAATCATCGCCGGGCGAGCTTGCGCGACTGCGGCTCATTTCGTAGTCGTCGTTGCCCCAGGCCTCTTCAAACTCGGGAGCGTTTTCTCTGGCCAGTTCCTGGGTCTTCATGATGTTCTCCTCCAGCTGGGCACAATGGTCGTTAAACTGCAAAGATTCAAGATAGAGAAGCTGCTACTTCTCCTACTTTAAAGCACTTACCTCCACTAGCTGCGCGTGTGCATAGTCCACTATCTTCTTGGCGTACTTGGTATACTGCGCCTCGCTTCCATTGTACTGCTCGCAGTTGGCAGCGATTAGCTCGATGTCCCCTAGATATTCGGCACGGCTATGGTAAACGTGATCTGTAATGTATGTCAAGTGTGTGGTTTTATTTATTATATATTATACTATTGGAATAAGTTAAGTGAAATAGATACGATTTGGAAGGAAAAGCATTACACCCTTTTTTCCAATATTATATGACTTGTTAGTATATTACATATCGATTATATGAAAAAGACATTGGGCACATGCTTTAAAATAAATTTGTTGCTTCGATCGATTCCGAGAGCGTAGTGCTCCCACCTGCACTCGAGTCGAGACAATAAAGATCCAACAATGCTTACATTGGGAAAATGGGGCGAATTGAACAGAAGTGCCAATCTCTTGATTATGTTATGTATGAATTATTACCACTTACTTTCAATATTCTTGGCAATCGTTTCCAAGTCCATCGGTCGCTTTATAACTGTATAGTAATCTTTGATAGACTTTTTGTTAACCGGCTTGAGGAAAGGCCAGCTCTCGTTCAGACCTCTGATCTGCGTGTGCAGCTTATCGAAAATGAAGGACAGTGCCACCTGATCGTCATCGTCCAG